TTTAATACTTTAAAGGTTTTGATTGGAGTTTAATAGTTTTTTCATTGGCTTGGGTCAGTATCAGTTCTGATATTAACTAATGAGTGAGGGTTCTGACTATAAATGTGACTTCTGTAAAACTGGTAATGCAGTTAGAACTTGCAAACCTGTAACTTTCTTTGAGCCTTGACAAATACCGATGCTGGGGATACAGTTGCAAATGCTTGAGTGTAATCCTGTGTTTTAAAACCAAATAGCAATGTCTTTCAAAACTGATTTAACTTCCAATCATGCCAAGCTTTGAGCATGGGCTTTGGTTGCATTTCTTGAGTCTGTTGGACACCTTCACCTTCTTTTAGGTGTAATGGTGTACACCTGACTTGACTGGGAAATTGGCTGGATCTGTAGCAAAGAATGAAATGCTTATGTAGTGATACCAGTCGCTAACTGGAGAAACTTGGAACTGCTGAAATATGAAGTGGTGGATAGTGTAAAGATGCTGTAGAAATGTGGTGTGGTTGGAAAAAAATGCACAGATAAAAACAAAAATAAATGAAGGTGAAGCAGGTTGCTGCTGAGTGTGTTTGTCCAATCTCTTTGGGGGACACTGAAGCAAAATTGTCATGCTGGGTTATGCTGGTGTTAAATGCAGAGGGGTGTGGAGCAGTTTTGTTTCCCAACAGTTTTGTTTCCCAGTTCTGGTACCCTGACTTAACACACAAGCCTTCACCTCCTTGCACTGCAGCTGGTCTAACACGCTCCCCCCCGCAGCCGTGTGAGGCAGGCATATGTGCTGCTAAGGACAAGGAGGCGCTGGTGTAGAAATGCTCCCTGTCCCTTGCCACCTCTCGTCCTCTGGGAAAGGGAAGTGCTGCTGCAGGAGGGCAGGAGGGTGTGGGCTGGTGCAGATGCTGCAGTAGTCAGTGACCACCCCCATCTGCCCCAGAGAGGAGTTTAAGAGCCCAAAACAGCACTGTGAAACCATGACAAGGAGGACTACCTCCAAAAGCCCTGCTGGGACCTGCCCCCTCCTCTAGCCAAATCCCTGTGCCACTTCCTTAGGTCTTGCAAGGCCTTAAAGCCTTTGCTTGGTGGGCAGGCAGGTTACTGCGTAGCTGCAGAGAACATTGAAAAAGTGAAAACCTATTATTGGAAGCATCATGTGCCCTTCCCAGGCATCTTGTCTCCTGTAACAAAACCACAGAGTCAATTAGGTTGGAAAATACCTCTGAGGTCATCAAATCTGGCCTATGACTGAGTATCACCAGGTCAACTAGACCATGGCACAGCCGTGTCCATATCTTTCCTTGAACACTTAAAGGCATGGTGACTCCACCACCTCCCTGGGAAGCCCATTCCAATGTCCAGTCACCCCTTCTTTAAAGAAATCTTCCTGATGTCTGACCTAAACCTTTCCTGGTGCTGCTTGAGGTGCCATGTCCTCTTGTCCTGTCACTGGTTGCCTGGGGGAGACCGACCCCCACCTGGCTACAGCCTCCTTTCACAGAGTTGCAGAGAGGGTAAGGTCACCTCTGAGCCTCCTTTTCTCCAGGCTGAACAAACCCTACTCCCTCAGCTGTTCCTGGGCTCTTCACCAGCTCCATCAATCATCTCTGGGCATACTCCAGCACCTCAATGTTCTTCCTGAATTGGGACCTTGAACAGGATGCAGATCTCAAGGTGTGGCATCACCAGTGCCTTGCTGGTCACACTATTCTGATACAGGCCAGGATGCCACTGGCCTTCTTGGGCACCTGGGCACACTCCCAGACTGATGCTGGCCAGCACCCATAGGCTCTTTTCCACTGGGCCTCTTTCCAGCCACCCTGCCCCAGCCTGCACAGGGTTGTTGTGACCCAAGGGCAGGACCTGACACTTGGCCTTATTGAACCTCACACCTTTGCCCTTTGGCCCATCAATCCAGCCTGTCCAGATCCCTCTGCAGAGCCTTCCTGCCCTCCGGCAGGTTGACACCCGCACACAGTTTGCTGTCATCAGTGAATTCTGCTGAGGGTACAGTCGATCTCATACAGATCATCAGTAAAGATTTTAAACACGATTGGGCCAAATACTAATTCCTGAGGAACACCACTGGTGACCAGCCCCCAGCTGGATGTGACACTGTTCACCTCCACTCTCTGGGCCTGGCTGTGCAGCCAGTTTCTAACCCAGCAAAGAGTGCTCCTGTCCAAGCTGTGGGCTGCCAGCTTTTCCAGGAAAATGCTGTGGGAGATGGTGTCAAAGGCTTTGCTGAAGGTCAGGTAGACACATCCATAGGCTTTCCCCCATCCACATGGCAGGTCACCTGATCATGAAAGGAGATCAGGTAAGTCAGGCAGGACCTGCCTTTCCCAACACTATGTTGGCTGGGCCCAATCCCCTGATTTTCCTGCATGTGCTGTGTGATCACACTCATGATCTATTCCATCCCACTACAGAAGCTGACCTGTAACTCTCTGGATCCTCCTTCCATCCCTTCTTGTAGATTGGCTTCATGCTGGTCAGCCCTGATCTCCCTGGCTGTCCAGGACTGATGACAAATGCAGAGCAGCTCAGTGAGCTCTCCTGTCAGATCCCTCAGTGCCCGTGGGTGAATCCCATCTGGTCCCATGGACTTGGGTCTAATGGCTCACAAACAAGCTGCTCACTACTCCCTCCTGGATTACAGGAGGTCAGTGCTGCTCCCTGTCCCTGTGTACCAGCTCAGAGTCTGGTTGCTCTAAGGATAATTGATCTTTCTGTTAAAGACTGAGGCAAAGAACCCAAGTACCTCAACCTTTTCTTTGCCCTTAATGACATTGTCCCCCCATGCATCCAGTAACTAATGAAGATTCTCCTAGACTCTCCTTTTGATGTTAAAGTATTTATAAAAACAATTTCTACTTCACAGTGGTGGCCAGATTGAGTTCCAGCTGAGCTTTTACCTAATTTTCTCTCCTACCAAAGGAGATCCTTGACCTACCATCATCCTTGTACTCTTCTCGAGTTGTCTGCCCCTCCTTTCAAAGGTCATAACCTTTTTCCCTTGAGTTACAGCAGAAGCATCCTATTCAGCCAGGAGGAACAGGATGACCAGGCTGGTCTTCCTCCGGCACATAGGGACAGTCTGCTCCTCCGCCTTTCAAGATTTCCTCTTTAAAGCATGACCAGTCTTCATGGGACCCTTTTGTTATTAAGGACAGTATTCCAAGGGAATCTCTGAACCAGTGTTCTGAATATGCCAAGGCCCACCCTCCAGAAACCCAAGGCAGAGATTTTGTTGTCCCTGTTCCTTACTTACCAAGGGTTGGGAACTATCATTTCACTGTGCCCAAGACAGCCTCCAACCACCATCTTCCACCAGCTCTTTTCATAAACAGCAGATCTATAAGGCCACTGCCCCTGATATGGTCATGTTGTAGTTCAGGAATGGTGTTCCCCCATTTAGCACTTCTACTGAAACACTCAAACCCATGCACAGCTTGCTCAACTCCTCCCAGCAGGAGGTAGATGAGAATTAGAGGCACAAAAGATAAAGATCAGGGATTGAGATGAGAACAATTTACTGGGAACAGCAGTGAGGTAAGAAATGGACAGTACCAATATTGATAATGTTTTGTGCAGGAAAGATGATCAATTCACCGGCAAATGCCCACCCCACGAAACCTGATGTTACCCTGGATGGAAAGGACCCCCATGTGCCTCCCCACCTGTGTAGGTGTGAGGTGGTACAGGACAACCTCCAGGTCTGAGTTATGCCCCTCCTGGCTACAGCAAAAAATTACTGTCCTGACCAGAACCAGGACAGCTCACTTAGCAGCTGTCCTTTGTCTTCCACACACTCAGGAACCTCCTAGACTGCCGCCTCTCCCCTGCTCATGTTTTCAGCAGACATCCCACAAATTAGTCTCCCACAAGAACAAGGGTAGTGATTGTGAAACACCAGCCAGCTCCTTACAGAGCATTTCATTTGCCCCTTTATCCTGTCTGGGTGGTCTGTAACAGACTCCCCCTGGGATGTCTGCTTCATTGGCCTTTCCTTGATCCTTACCCACCAGCACCCAACCTTATCATCACTGCCCTTGAGCTCTGTAAGTCAAAACTCTCCCTCATGTACAGAGCCACTCCACTGCTTGCCCCCTGTCCCTTCGGGAAGAGCTCATGACCATCACTGCAGCACTCCAGGCATGGGAGTCATCCCACCATGTTTCTGTACTGGCAAATATGTCATGGTTTTCCTACTGAAAACTGCAGTTCTGCACAACCACAGTGGCCCAGGCTCACAAAGGAAGTCTCCAGAGACTTCCCTGGAATCTGCCATATTTACAATTGAAAATAAATGTAGAGCCACACGATCCTTTACTTCATAACATGTTCCTTCACTTCAGTAATTGCCACATGCATTCCCCAACAGCTGCAAGAATGAGAATTTAAAATTTAAACATTTAAGTAAATTCTCTCTACTGAAAGAAAACATCATTCAAGTGCATTTAGAAGTTCTGCCATGGAATGCTACTTCCCTCTTGCCCCCCAAGGACAGGTCTTGCCTTGGTCTCTGCTTCAAAAGTTGGGAAGAAAAAAAAAGAAAAAAAAAAGATGTAGCAAATGCACCTAAGGATCTATCCTGCAAAATACAGTAAATATATGTCAGAACCTCCCAAGAAAGCAAGCAGCTTTCCTTTTCAAAGAGAATTCTCTTTCATGGAATTGTGTATCCAAGCCAAAGGAGAACCTATGTTATTAGACGGCCTCCCACCACAAGAAATGCTGTTCTATCAGCCCTCTGCCTGCCCATGACCAGGAACTGCAAACCAGACAACAGTTAGAAAATAAGGAGCCTTCCTCCTCATGGATGCAGAAAAGCTGCAGGAAGTTCACCTCGATTTCATCAGCGCAATCAAGTACAATGATACAAACTTGTCTTTTGACCAAGAAGATACCAATTGTTGAACTGTTGCTATATTCCACCCTCAGATCTAGCATAAAGGCCAAAGCCTTCACAGAGCTTCTTGCAACTGAAAAATATAATGCTTCACACAATCTGGCAACAGACTGTTCATAATTAGCATTTATTTGATTTTAATACAAAATACTGTTAAAAACAAAGTAAAATTAAAAAACAGGTTAACACTACATCTTCTCATAAGTTAATTCATGGCCACACACAGTGCATGTCTTTTTATATGTATCTTCATCAATGTTTTCTTCTGGTCCGTATTCATGTTCATGGATACTGGCTTGTTTCTTCCATAAACTACTCCTCACAGCACGGCGGAGTTCTGGTAAAAAATACAAGAAAATTTTAAAATTTTAATAAATCTTAAAGAGCATTCAATAAAACTCAAGTAGCCAGCTTCCTGAGGCCTACAAATGACAATATGCTTGCTGCCTGTCTTCCACAAGGTCTGGGAAAGAATCTGCTCTTGCAATAACAAGTTCTGACTTGCCTTGCAATCCTCACCTTGTTTGCATAATTTAAAGGCCAAGAACTACACTGTCATGGGATCTCATAGGCAAAGATTTTCCATCTGGACTAAGGATGAGTTGCTTGCTGCTTTTTCACACAAAGCCATTCAAAGTTATCCAAAAGGGGTCGGTGGAACGTAAAGGAAAAGTTTTTATAGAACACCTCATTTATTTTACATGACCAAGAAAGAGTCATTTTCATTCAGGTCACAGTAAGCCTCCCAAATGACTTGGCATTCTCTAAGCTTTATGCCCAATAATATGAGTTGCCTCTGCAGCATCGCAGTGAAATCTGCGGGTTCTCTAGAGCGCACAAGCTGGCAGCAGGGCCCAAGATATTATCCGGATGTTGCAAGCGGGTGGCAAGAATACTGAACAGCAAAATGTGGTCACATTTTGAGCCAAGCCATTCAGGCTGCAAACTTTGTCACGTTAAGGCCTGTGCTTGCACTGAACTCTGGCATCTCGGCTACAGTCTGCTGCCAGTCCTTCAGCGTGCACAGCATCAATGGCCCGGACAGGGGTTATTTGTGCAATCCCAAGTTCTGCCTCCTTCAGACAGCCCTGGTACAGCCAGCCTGGGCTTTCTGCCCTTGTAACCACCACCCAAGCAAAGCATGGATGCTATAGGTGGTACAAAAGGTTCCACCCATCAAACACTCCTCTAAATAATACTTTAGAGGAGAAAAAAGCCGCAGAGCAATTTGCAGTAAAGACAGCTGCTAGGAATACTGTGAACAACTGAAAAACCCATTTCATTACAGTCATTTCACCTGAAGCCTATCACAGATCTATAACGCACTGCTACAAAAATTAATGTCTTCCACTAGTCAAAAGTATCAGAAGCAATCCATGGCACATTCCGGGTCATACCCAAACATTCGAAAAACATTATAATGAACCATTGCAATTGATTTCTGTCACATAACGTCCACAAAGCAACAGGGGAATTAAAGTTGGAAGGGACCTCAAGCCCTGCAGTCCAACACTGCCCAAAATAGTAACCTATGAAGTCACACCAGACTGCTCAGGCTCACCCCCAATCCTGAAAACCTCCATACTACCACACTGCGTATTTTCTCAATAATTTATTCAGATGCAGACACAGGTTTAAACAGAACTGTACTTCCCTTCAGGTACTGAAGTATGTAATTTTAATGCTTTACCTTTAACTTTCTTGTCAAACTTCTTCTGTTTCATCTTCTCTCTGCTATTACGGCGGAGCTCCTTTGCTTCTTGCAAGGCTTCTTCACTACCCCAGACTTCAAGTGAACGCTTGATTACCTACAGGATGGACATAAATGCCTTTTTTGTTTCCTGAAACGATAAAAGTAAACTATTCTAACTTACAAATTTAATTTTTCCCTACATACACATAAACGAACCAATCTTGCTCTGCCTCCCACCTGTCTCTGCTTGTCTCACAAAAGACTGCACTCCTTCCACCAAAGAGGCGACACTGGTCTTTAGTATCAGCTGAATGTAACTTAGGAAAGCTTAAGCCCAGCTCTAGTTTTGTCCATATTTTACTAAAGCAGTATGATGGCTATCAAGTACCAAACAAGAAATGCCAAGAGCCCTGGGGAATCCACTTGCCTTTCCTGCCGCCTCTGCAGGCAAAGCTGTGAACGCAGCTACAAAGGGCCACAGACAGCTGCAGCTGCCCCGTGCACTTCAGAGTAAAACTGAAGGGCCATGTGCTTTGTGACTTGTAATTGTGCAACCCACTAAAGTTCTGCTCAATGAACATCTTTAAAATGCTCTCAAAACCAGACATTTCCACAACTTGGACTGCAACCATTTAACTTTAACAAGCTATACATAACACACTTAGCTTTGACAAAACCATTCAGGTACCAAGTGACAACCAAAGCTGTATAAAGGTTAAAAAATGTCTGAAACACACTCAGTTTCTATACCTGTAGTTTTAAATAAAGTTTCATTTCACCCCATCGTGAATTATGAGGGTTTTTCTTCACAATGAATCTGAGTACTGGTTCCCTCTTGTCTAAGTCACAGTCTTTAAGCAGATACTCTTCTTTTGCTTCTGTCCTTGTTATAAGCTTATGTTTATCTTCAACATCTCTGCAAGATGTAAAATAATGATGAGAAAGCTACACCCTAAAACCACAGGTTATTAACATCTAAGTCCCCATCCCTTCTAACATTCCTGAAATACAGGTAGCCCTAATACCCTCAGTTTTATATGCATGCAAATAACTTTGGATTCCAACTGCTTAGCTAAACTCCAGACTAGATTTACTGAAATTAAATGTTTTAAAAATTCCCATTTCAGCAAACATACACTGAGAAGCCTGCTCTTCTAGAAAGGCTTTTCTTCTATTTTCTTACAATGAAACTTAAAATGAATAATTTCAGGTATTCATCTAACTCAGATGCAATCCAAGAGGACAGACGCATGAGCCTCACATGGTCAAGAAAGAAAGAATGTGTTATGTGAGACAGATCAGATCACCTGAGAATATACACACTCCATATGGTTCTAGATACCAGAAACTGATTAGCAACACAGAGCCTTTTCTATAATGCAGGACAGTAGGCAGAGAAACCATAAAAAAAGGCTTTAAAGACAGTAGCCTTTACCAGATAATGAAAAACTCTGTAAGCACAGCAGCTTTTATGAGTTAATGGAAAAAATTACATTTACGCAATCCTGACTGAAGTACAACTTGAATCGCTGGAGCCAAAAGATCTGCCAAACACTAAGTGCTAACAACGGTCATCAAGGAAGTACTGCTGTAAATGTAGCTGTACTAGAATTCAAAGTTCACAGTTACAGCTAATGCACCAAGGACACACTCCAGCCATCAGCTACAAGAGCTCAGACCAAAGACTCCACAAGCTCCAAGCTCCTTTCCCTACCTACTGTAACTGCTGAAACAGAACTTTGCCTGCAATGACTGCAAATTGCCTACACCACGTGCACAACCCTAACCACTCCCTCCAGTAAATGGGAAGGCGCCCAGAACAAGCTTTTTTTTTCATTCACCCAATTCATTCTTACACACATGGGCAGCTGGCTGCTGCAGTTGGTTTCATTGCCCTGGTTATCTTGATGGCTTTTGGAGCGTTTTCTGTGTTAAAAGATAAGAGCTTGCTCTCCCTCTCAAGGTCAAACTCCTGCTTACCTCGCAGGCCAACCAGTAACCTCCCATGGGGGCTCTGCCCTTTGGCTGCTGTGCTTCCAGCACGCCCATGCTGACCAAAGTACCAACTGCACTTGAGTTAAACACTGGGACCACAAACACTCTCCTAATCCCTGCTCCACTTCAGGGTGGGTATTTGTGTTGCATCAGGTTTTCAAATGGCTCCAGTCTGCAGCCAGACATAAATTTTCACACTGACAAACACACCAACTGCTCTCACGACATCCCATTACCATAATGTTGTATGAAAATCCACTGACGTACCCTATCCTAAGGCAGGCTTATGAGACAATTTGTGAATTAATTCCATAATGGAACTTGCACAGGGTATCAAATTAAATTTACATTTTTTTAAAGTTACTGAAATATGTCTCTCTTGCTGACAGTCTCTTTAAACGACTGTAACTCACTGAATTATAGCCAGCAATCTTTATGTAAAATAGTGTTTTTCTCTCCTGATTATTTGTAATACCTGCAATTATCACATGTTGCCCAATCAAAGTGCTGCATAAGGTAGGAGTCCATGAATTCTTTGCCACAGTCTCCACAGATGAGATAGTCAAATTCTAGCACGGGTGCTAATGGAAAGAAATATTTTTTAAAGGGACTACAATGATAAAAACAAGCATCTAGAATTGGTATTACAGGCAATTTTACTAGAATTCACATAAGCATATTACAAACTAGTTTCACTCTGTCCAAGTTTTTCAGAACAGTACAGTACACATTCAAACCCATTACCACACAATTCAATGTCTGTTGGAATGTTTTCTCCCAAGTCAAGCATTTAGTACTTAACTTCAACATTTAAATGTGTATTTAACTTAGCCATTGTTAAAAAAATTCTCCACACTTCTCTCACAAAGCGCATCAAATCCTCTCCTGCCACTTCCTCTGTTCTGACCCTCCTAAAATATGCCCTGATTTACAGGGGACATGCGGGCAGAAACGGGAGGAAGCAGAGAAGGGATTCAGTTTGAAGAGGGTGGCTAGAGCAGGAAACTACAGGAGCCGCGCTGGCATCATAGTTCTCTCAGCTCTGCTCCAGTTTTTTTCCTAGCTCAGCCACACCTGCCTCTCCCTAAACGAGCTCAGTGGAAGCCTGGGGCAGTTGGCAAGGTTCTTGTCCGTTCCAGCTGGCAGAAACGGAGGTGGATGGCCAGAGAGCTGCTAGGAGTGGAATGGGGATGGAGCTCCACTACAATCCTCTCCCCAAGCCCTCTCAGCACTGCTCCAAGCCCAGACTCATCTCAGCGCCAGCCACTGCTTCTGGCCGCATCCTCAACGGGCGGATCACCTCCAGCGTCATCACCATCTGCTTTTATGTTCCACAGGACACCAAGAAACACCGATTCGGGCAACAACAGCTATAAGGAACATTCCTTGAACAGTAACATCGGAATTCTATCAGAAAATTAACATTTCTATACAGTTTTGAAATCCGAAAGCGAGGTAGTGCAGTGAAATTTTAGGAACACCTGGAGCAGAAGATTAATGGTTAACATGCAGCACCATATATTTTAATTGCATTTGCATTTATAGCAGATCCGATCCAGCAAAGACGACATTTTATGTAAATTCAGTCCTACTAGCGACAGCCGGATGCTCAGTACTTCACAGTCATTTCATACTCTTACATCACATTCCATCATTTAAGGCAGTGCTCCCGAACACGAAGACATTTTATTAAGACAATGACGTTATGAATTACACAGCAAAAAATACGCCCAGTGTAAAGGCATCCCAAATCTACTTAAATTTATTGTTAAACATTAGCCCATCTAAAGAAGCAGGGCTGCTAATTGTTTACACCGTTAATGAAATCTGGTGCTGATTTCTAACAAAGAGATACACTGCACCAACAGCTCCGCAGCTGATACAAGCAGAACAAAGCAAGACAAAGACAATCCCAGAGAAGAAAGTCGATCTATTTTGGGACCCTTACTTCTCCATTTGCTTTTTTTGGGGGGGAGAATATTGCAAGGCAATGCGCTGAAATCCTCCACCGAACGATCAGTAACTTGGCGCCAGCACGTTTTATAACGATAAAAGCTGGCACTGCAGCAGCGCTCCGGTCTTGGCACAAACCACATAAATCCCAAAATTCCCACAACCGACGAAGTCGCGAAAATTTATGCTCATGTCGGTCTTAAAACTCAAATTCCCCGAAAGAAATAATGGATATAACATTAATGGGGGAGAAAAAAAAATTAAAATGTGCTATACCCAAGGGCACTGGTTGTGTCCCACTTCCGCGGCTTAAAATTCTTCATTTTTAATTACCCCGCATTTGCTATAGCCGATTTAATGCTGAAAAGAATCGGACGCGCCACTAATCGAGCACATCCAGAAAAACGTGTGAAGGAGGAAAAGGGATATCAGCAATTAAAAGAAAAGAAAAGAAAAAAAAAAAAGGGGGAAAAAGAAAGAAAAAGAGGGTAAGAAA